GAGTGTGCGCGTGCGACACGGCCATGAGCGTCAGTTGCTCAATCGGGTACATGACGCCGTTGCCAAACGAGATAAGGATCTGGCACAAGATCATGACCCCGACGGATGGGTTGGGGATGTGCAGGCCCACCATGAGGCCTTCGCCGAGGATGTAAAGGGGGACTCCGAGGAGGAGGGCGTAGTATTTGATGCGGCCGTTGTACCGCAACGCCACCCCGAGAAGCAGGTTCGAGACAGAGGCGCCAACCATCTCAATGTTGTTGATGTAGGTGGCATTCGTGACAGACTGGTGGAACTCGACGATGAGCATGGAGTAGATGTATGCTGCGACCACGCCGTCTGACGTATACAGCGTTCCGGCAAGCAAGTTGGTAAACACCACAGTCCGGTCCGTGAGGAGGTGCCATGGGAGAAATGTGACGGGAGCGAGATACTTCTCGTACATGAGAAATCCCACAATCATCAGAACGCCGATGACAATGAAGGAGATGATCATCGGCGAACCCCAGCCTTGGGACTGGTACGAGTAGATGCTGATTGCCAGCAACAAGAAGCAAAGACCCGAAGCCAGAAGCAGCAGTCCGATGACGTCGAACTCCTTGCAGTAGTGAATGAAGTTCTCCTGCCAAGTCTGCTTGTGGATTGGCCTCGAAATAAGCCCGGCGTCCCGCGCCTGCTTGTCGTACTTGAACATCAAGTACAGCAGAGGTAGTGAGCAAACCGGGATCAAAATCGCCCAGATACCGAATCCCCACCTGAAGCCGATGGTTACCAGGACACTCTCCGCTGCTGGACCACACGCCCATATCGACAGGAGCGACGGGGTTGCGAGGACGCCCATGACGAAGGCCCGGTGTCGCATGGGGATGGCATCGGCGATGAGGATGGTGAAGCTGAACTGGATGCCAAAGAAGCCAATGTAGTAAAAGACCTGTGCTGCGCAGTAGGTCTCGACGTTCTGGCAAGCGGCCATCATGACGGCGCTGACGGTCGTGAAAAGCACCATCGAGGCCATGCACTGGGGTCTTCCCCAGAGGTCCAGGAGCTTTGCATACGGCAGCTTGATGATGCCGCTAGTGACGTTGGCCACGACCGCTGTTGTTGCTGTGAGAGCATGCTGGCTAAAGTCGCTCGTGACATATGGGGTCAAGACTTTGAAAATCCCAGAGGAAAAGCCCAACGTGAAGTTGTAGAACCAGACGCTGGTGAGAGTTAGCCAAAGTGCTTATTCTGAAGAATTCTAGAATTGAGAGAAGGGTTACACTGTAATCAAGATAACCAGCTGGCGGGTGCTGAGAATCTGTTGGAGCGGTCCAATTTCCTCCTTCTCGGACTCCACCGCAGTGTCTTTCTCGGTGTCGTAGTCCTTCTGGTCGTCTTTGACGCTTGAATCCTCGCTCGCCGAACCAACGGCGGTAGCTACCGACGGCTCCCGCTTTGTGGCGTTCTCCATCGTGGAGACCGCGCGGCCGCTATCGCAGGGGGCCGTCATGGTCGTCGAAGATTTGGCGAGCGCCCCTGCTTGGAGTGTACTGACTCGGGGTTTGTGAGGGGGGAAACCGAGCAAGCGCGGCGTTTACAAGATCATGTCCAAAGAGGATTGTTCTTCAACCGGATACGAAAACAATCCAAGTTTACGATAACTCGAAGAAAGAGATACGTCGCCTTGTAAGGCACAGCTTCGGCACTGGAAAGATTTTGACATGCCCCTGATTGCGGGGCTTTGACGCGTCGTACTGTTGCTTCCCGGATAGTGCTCCTTTTAATAGCGCCCAATCAACGACACCAGGTACCGCTGGTGGAGCGAGTCAGGGGCCTTTACAGCGGTTGAGCCACGCTGTAAACGCGTTCTTTAGGGGAATGTCTTGCCGAGACGGGAGATTGCAATGTTGTAGTGAGACAGCTACAGCTCTAACCGATTGCGAGCTTGCGATGAAGACTTCGGCCTTGAGTCTTTGAACGAGACGAGTGGCTGGTGGTCTTGTTGGCAACGAAGCTTGACATTCGACAACTCAGTTGAGTGATTAAAGGGATAAAGCAGAAACTGTCGCTTGGCTTTTTCTGCCTATGTAGCAGTGGAAAGTAATTTCCGCTGGTGAGACAAATCGCTGTAGGGACCTTCCGCTCCTGCCTGTTTTGGGGGCGCCGATGCCAGCGCCGGCCGAAAAGGTGTTGCCGGTCGGAAGTGTGGGGGGCCACTCCCGGGACATGCTCCGAGATTTGAGCCGCCACATCCGGGACACGGCAGCATTCAAGTAAAATCCGGTCGCAGCCAGTCAAATGTGTCCATGAGGTCAAAATTGAAATCCAGCTGCGCAGACACGTCCCAGCTTGAGATGTCCACAGGAAGGGCATTGCCGACGGTGCCGGTATCGTTCAGTGCGTGGTCGAGTACATGCTGGATCACGACTTTGCAGTCGGCGCAGAGGTCTGCGTTCGGAGCGGAGGGCTTGACCCAGGACAGGAAACCGACCAGCAGACTGAGCTGTTGAATGATATTGGAGCGGGAGGGTTTGGGGCTTTGAGGGTCGCCGCTGGGTGTAGGCCGAAGAAGCTCTAGGCAAAGAACACCTCCGCCCGGAGCGGCGTACGCCATTACCTGCGATCAAGGTCAGAATCATCAAGAGACGGTTCGTAAACCGTACAGAGAAAGTTGAGCTCACCAGCCACATGAAGTCCCAATGCAACGGGGTAAACCGATCCATGTTGGTCCAGAACATGACGGCAGTCGACACCATCTCGAAGCTAACTCGCAACAGGTCATCGTTGTTCGTATGCCCCCCACGAAACAGCAATTGTTCGACGAAAAACAGATTTTGCAGGTGCTCCAGGTGCACAACCATCAGCGTGTAGAGCGTACCGTCGTTCAGTGTCGAATTCTTCACCTCCGCAGTGTTCAAACGCATCGCTGACGGCAGCTGGGCGTAAGCCTGCAACTGTCGCTCTTTGATGCCCCTAAAAACCAGTCAGCGTCATACTCTAAAGACCCACGAGATAATGCGTACATGAGAGTTTGTAGCGCTGGAACTACCACGGGTCTGACGGCCAGAGCAATCTCAAATATGTCATCGCGGATCATGGAGAAGCACACTCGGGCTCGCAGGTTACCGACAGGCGGAAGGACGCCGTCTCTATTCCACCCATGGCTGTCTAGGGCTGCTGCTGCCGCTTTTCGGGTATCCTCGTCTGCCAACAAGTCCTCGTCCTGCAGAGCAAGTGGTAAGGGTGTCGAAGTAAACTTGCCGCAGAGAAGAGGCGGACGACCAGTGAAGGTAGACCCTGCTTTGTCGCTGTGAAAGACGTGACCAAACAGTCTTCGCCGCAGTTCGGACGCGAGAGTTGGCACGTATGGCTGGTTTGGCGCGCTGTCGTCGATGTGAAGCCCGAGAGATGTTAGGAGTGTCACGCATTCTCCGTGAGATTGCCAGCACGAAAGACCTAGGATCGCAGATCAGCCATAAAACTTATCAAGGATTGGTGCAAAGGCGATAATATCTCCTGGAATTTTCAACAGCAAGAATAACGAGCTTAGAACTTACTGGCATCGCCATCAGCGACAGAGTCAACAATTCCCCGCTTGTAATGGAGGTAGACCGACAACGTATTTCCTGCCTTCGAGGCCGTGGCTCTGGCGAGCAGAACGCAATCGTTGAGACACTTTCTCAAGACTGCCGCAGACTTTACTGTTTTTGGTGTGTTCTTTACTCCCCGCGAACCAAGAAACCAATACGCGAAGAGCAAGCCAAGAGTTTCCCAGCGGGTATTTTCTCCCGAGAACTGGTCAATGTAGCGGTTGCCGTCCGGCTCGTCTTCCACGAAGACTTTTGATGTGTTCACGCAAATGGTCTCTGCCAAGTCTGATAGCTTCGCCGCGTTGTGATCCATCGTCTCAAAGAGCCTGCCATAGTGGTGATAAAAGCGGTCGAGGGCCCGTGGCGCAATGAGCTGGAAAGCGATGTCACACTCGTTGAAGTGGGAGCCGAATAGAACTTGTGCATCCTCTCTTCGAGGGATACTTTGAAGAACAGAAATGCATGTCTTCAAAACTGCATCTGACACTCGTTTGTGTTCTGGTTCTGTGTTGGGTGTGTTGATACCGCTTCTGCGTGCCCTGCTTGTAAGTTGGGGTTGGAAAGGCGACAGAGCGTCCCGCGTTTCTTCATATATGCCGAGGTAGGAAGTGAAGCCAAGAAACCCAGGGGATTGCGTGTCGACTGGGCTGTTTATTTCGGGACTGGTGCGTTCCTGCTCAGAATGATCCCGGGTCCTGGTGATTGAGCGACGGCGGGTCCGGGCTTCGGGGCTGGCTGAAGTAGGCGACGCACTCCTCGTCCTTCGCCCAACACGCTGCCGAGTCGTCGATGCAGGCGGCTCGGAATCCTCGGTCTCATATTCACACGGCTCTCCCGGCCTTCTCCGTCTTCGACAGCTGCTGCAGACCGGGCGAGCGCGATCGCAGGCAACCTTGCGCCGATGGCATGGGCCGCAGGCGTGCGGCCGTCCATTTCTTCGGCGAGTATTCGGCGAACTGGGCGTGACCAAAGACATGACGACTTTCGGCGATTCGATTTGGGCAAGAAAAGAAAAAGGCAAGACCTGCTACAAGATTAGAAGAAAAGACGGTTTACTTCTGGAACTCGGTGCCGAGAACGTGGTGTGTTGGTGAGCGGGAAGAAATTTCGGGGTCGGCCTCGGCTGAACTGACTAAGGCCCACTAGTTCGGTGCCGAACTTTGGCTTTGCCGTGCCGAGAATCAGCGATGACATGCACACCTAGCTGACAGTCCTGATGAACAGGCTTGGGCGAGAGATTCTGCTTTTATTCATTTGTCAGAGTATCAAGTGAGTTGGGTGGCTAACCTTCCATGATCATGAAGCCGACGAACATATCCCACGCTCCCATCCCGTGATGCCGCCAAATACCGAAAAATACACGATGCGAAAATGCAAGCAACCGGCAACCTATGCAACAACTTCGCTTCGCAAACCGCTCAAACGCCCTTATATGTCCCTATACTGACGCACAAACTCATGCAATTCCACGAGAGACTCGTGGCCAACTTTTTGCATGTACGCCGAACTCCGATCCCCAGAGATGGCGACTTTGATGATCTGCTTCGCTGCCCAGCAGAGCTCAGTGTTGTATCTGACCATTCCACTCTTTTCGAATACAGTGGGATCCATGCGGCTTTGTATGGTCTCCCACATTGCCTCCCAACGTGAGATGGCGCGAGAGAGATTCCGAGTGCTGGGGCCCAGGACGCCCATCAAGTTTGCAGTGAGCACCATGCCATTGATACCTGCAAATCGTCAGCTTCAAAGTACCACTTAAACGGCCGAGTTACCATACCAAAGATGAGGATTTGTAGGTCCGTCGCATTAATGTCTTGAAAGGGGAAGCTCCCCATACCGTTCCAAGTATCGCTCATCAACGCATCCATGCAGTGCTTAAGTGATACTATCCTCCTCGCAGGATTGAACCCCTTGGTATTGGCAATTTCATAATACTCCTCTGCATTGCTGGCATCCCATAGTTCCAGCGGACAGGGGAGATCGCACGTTATCTCTGAGGTGGAGATCATAGACGGAACGTTGAACATGCCGGTTTGTTGCCAGTCTGCTAAAGCCATCCAAGTTGCCAGCCTTTAATCGTTAGATTAACTAAAACTTCGGATAAGACACGACCTACCTAATGCGAGACTCGTTCCGCACAAATTCATCGTACTGAAATAGCGGTGCATGCCTCGTCTGAGCCAGCCCAAGACAACGCACGGCCTGGACCAACACCGGAAGTCTTTGCGTGCGGTTCTTTCGCCGCGTTGCCATGTCGTTTCGGAAGAACTGCACACTATGAATCATGACCGCTGCTTGAAGGCTCGCCTCCAGCTCAGGGGTCCACTCAGGCGTCACGCCGTTCGGGATCATCCTATGGAGCCTTCTGAAGATGTACTCCTCGATGAGACTCAGGTAGGCCCGGGCAGCTAGAGCATCATCGCTGGGCGGTGATCTCAAGGCGCCAGAGACAGCAACAGCGATTAGGAGCTCTTTCGTTGTCCGGTTTGTGCCAAAGTCTGGCCGGTGCAGGATGGGAAAGTCGATGTGGCTCACGCGGAAGTACGTGGCAGCAAACATGCAGAGATTCTCCGCCGAGAAGACGGAAGTCGCAGCAACGGGGTCAAAAGCCCCGTCATACCACGGGTCGCAGATCTTCAATGCATGGTGGAGCTCTTCAAGTTCAGAGACGATCATGGCTGCCCGCGACTCGAAGATTGCCGGGTCGTACGATGAAGTTGGTGTATGTATTAGCGACGCTGTCAGTCCGGACGTTTCCGCGAGCCCGGACATGGCATAAAGGTAGTCAATTGACTCGGGGACGAAACCGGTTGCGAAAGGGTACGGTAGGAAGGCGGCAAAGTCCTGGTCGATGGACAAGTTCGGAGGGAACGGGGCAGGCACCACCGGTCTCATACTCGAATCAAGCCCGTCGCCTTCAGTCCTGGCGGCTGCCTCGCTGGCGAGGAACTCGAGAATGTTTTCCGAGTTTGGGTTGGTGAGGCCGAGGAGGAAGGCGACTGTGATCTTTGTGCGGTCCTTGTCGTTGTTGTTGGTGGGAGTACCGACGGCTGTTGACGAAGCCGAGGAATCCGTCGCAACGGACGGCGCGTCTTCGAGCCTGTGGTAGGTACATGCTAGCTTGCGAGAGACGCAGCGCTCGCATGGATCGGATGTGTCGCATGATTGTTTGCTGTGGAAGCAAGCATCGCACGCTCGTGGCTTTTGGCCGCGCTTGAGGATGGGGATGGCTTCATGGTCTTTCTTGTTCGGGCAGTGAATAGTATGCTTGCGGCAGACGTCGCTGTGCTGGTTTAGAAAAATGGTTCTAGAAGAAGATCGTCAAACATACCGTCTAGCAAACGACTTTTCACAGTAAGGACACTTATAGCTTGCGCCTTCGATATCTAGAAAGGTGTGAGCGTCAAGAACACCGAGATAGCATGTGAAGATGATGGCAGATGAGATGAACGGTTCACACTCGACTTCAGCTGGCAAGTCGATGACTGAACCTAAGCTACAAGGGATGAATGATCTCCACAAAATTATGAAGGCAGCCAAACCACATCAGGATAGCAGAAAAAAGTCCCGTTCAGGGGGGCTCGCGAATGGCCTCATGGTCTCGAGAACAAAAGTACCCCAATTGAGACAAAGATATTGCCCATCACGCCCGGAACAAGCCGACGGAAGAGATCACAGATCGTAAGACTTACGTGTGGATTCGTGCCGTCGCAAATGAGCGCTCCGCTGATACTGCTTACCGCAGGTTGCGCAGGTGTACCCGCGGCCGCCGACGCCGACGACAGACTCCGGCATCTCGGGTCGCAGTAGGCTCCCGAGGCCCAACGCTGATAAACTGGGAGATCAATCGAAATCGGGCATAGAACCGAGACAGATCACCCGGTGTTTGTTGGTGGGTTTGGACGGAAAGGGCGTGAAGGAATCGTCAACGGGGATGGTGAAAGGAGGTGGGTTTTATCCGAGCTAGTCGGAATCTCGCGGACTGGGCGGACTGCAATTGTCCTTGACGGAGTGAAACCCTGGACCTGGGGCCGGACAAATCCCACTGCCGGGGTCGTTGGCTGCGATGCCGGTGGGTTTTCACCTTAAATCCAGCGCGATCCACTCCTGACGGGTGGCTGGGCTAAGCCTGATTCGGAAGTCTGGGCATGCCGTGTAAGTTGAGATCATGGGGGCATGAACGGCCATCGGGGACATTAGGAGTGCGGTTGAGGTCCTTGAATATTCCGAGAGAGAGATTCTCCCTTTTTTGTTTTCACTGAGATTTTCTGGGGATATTTCTGCTGAACATTGATGTTTTTGCGGCGTCAATCTGATTATTGGACATCAATGGTTCTCCGGCTGTGTTTACTTCGTCTTCACTTGATCAATCGATGTTTCGCTTAAGCGCACTATTTACAAGTCCTATTACTTTCATTGCATGAAATCCAATTTCTTCTGTTCTTCCCCACGATGAACGGTATAACTTTGCAAAAAGGTAGCCCTTCGAACGAGTTGCCCGATAAGAGCCTTGACAAGAGTGAGCAATTCTAAAGTGACAAACAGCGATTTCCCGTCATGCGACGCGAAATATTCTAGCAAAAGCTGGTACTCAGATCAGTCCGCGCATTCCGTTGCTTCCGCAGACATCAGCGCAGACAGAACGCTATCGACGAAACCACACCGACGCCAAAACGAAAGGGGCGCCACCTTTCAAGATTCCACCTAAATCAAAGGCATTGGCAAGAAAAGAACCTTCAAATGCCGTTGAATACGCCTTGTAAGCATCTCCTTACTGATTCCCCTTTCCATCTTCTATTGTCCATGAACTGATTTGAGGGGGGCAGAACGACGCTCGATGCGATCGTCAACTGGGCCAGACAGGGCTCCTTTTGGCCCCTGACGTTCGGTCTCGCGTGCTGCGGCGTCGAAATGATGCATGTTTCGATGCCGAGATATGATCAGGATCGATTGGGTATCATCTTTCGTGCGTCTCCCAGACAAGCTGATGTGATGATCGTGGCCGGCACCGTCACCAACAAAATGGCCCCTGCCGTCCGGCAATGCTACGACCAAATGCCGGAGCCGAGATGGGTTATCAGTATGGGCAGTTGCGCGAACGGTGGCGGGTACTATCATTACAGTTATTCGGTGGTCAGAGGGGTTGATCGCATCATCCCCGTGGACATCTTCGTTCCGGGCTGTCCACCGACGCCCGAAGCGTTGATGTATGGCGTCTTCATGCTTCAGGCTAAAATGAGGAGAACGAAAATCACCAGGATGTGGTATAGAAAGTAGGGGTACAACTCTATTGTTCATCAAAGAAATACATGGCAGACACGAGATGTCATGTTGATATCAAAAGACTGGACTACCAACCGCCACAAATCACGGATTGATATTCAACACTTTAAGTCTCTATGGTGAGATTGTTCCTTGATAACGACAGACATATTACTGTCTCTAAGCGGCATACGTACGTGCATGTTTGACCAGATAAATCACGAAGGCGTCTGCGTTTCGGGCAACCAATCGTTCAGCTCTTCGACCCTACTTGGAACCATACTTGAAATCGAGCAGCTCGGTCCCCACAATGGTCATTATGCCCGGAAAAGGATGTTAGAAATAAGGATGCGCAGATGCTCGGTTGACAACTAAGTTTATTAGGGACGTATGAGCGCTTTCAACGTGCCGTCCATTGGAGTGGGTACTATGACCGAGATCTCAATTATCATGAGGACACCTAATTTTACTGTGTTTTGCGGCTATACTTCCTGTGCACTTGATTACTCCTGTCGAGACCGCCTATTTTCCCTGTGCTAGAGCGACTACTTTCCCTCCATGTGGCCTTACTCTAATCACTTTGCCACCGTCGTCGTCGTCGTCGTCGTCGTCGCTCCTATTGCTATCGTCGTTCTCGTTATAGTCGTCCTTGTCCTCCTCCTCATCCTCATCGTTCGTTGCCGCTACTATTGCCTTCATCATCATAGAACACAGAGCTTCCAGTTGTTCCAGTCGAGCAGTTCGACCCGTTTCTGGTCCGGCGAGATTTGGTGAGCATATGTTTCCATTGACACCGTTTCAACTTTAAACACCATGCACGTTTTTGCATGCATGTTGTTTGCAAAAGTACTTAGAAGGTGCTGCATTTATGTGCAAATACTCAGGCAGATTAGAGAATCATACCTCAAACCTGTCAGCGAACAATGTTTGTCTGTTGAACAGCTAGGGTGGCACCTGATCGGTTGTTGTTTTCAGGGGCGGCAACTTACAATCTTCGCGAGCGTAGCATGAGCCCCAACTCAGCTACATCACACATGCCTCAACAAAAACGAAGCATAGCTTGACGTTTAGTCGGCTGGAAGTCTTTCTCTGGAAGAAAACCTCATCAAACTTGGCCAAAGACGTGTACACAAGTAACCTCGACCTCATTTCCACAAAAGACGCAAACAACAGCAGTGCTGCATCAAGTCAGACACCTTCACGTAAGCTGATGATATTACATGCCCTGGTCAACAGCCATCCGGAGGTTGTGTGACCTTTGCATGCAAGAACGGGGTAGAGTGACCCAGATTGGCTCGTGCGACATGTGCCACTTGAGAGACCGCAGCAGTGTGTATCACTGATGAACGGAAGGATTCACGGATAAGCCCGCGTTCATAGCCTTGAAGGATGCTTCGAGGCTGTGCGTCTTCGCATTCAGCCGCATGAACACCTTCGAGAAGGAACACCGGAAGCTGAAGTTACTAGCTTCATTTTAAGGGTCCAGTGTGTACAGCCTTTTGCCAAAATTCCCAAGAGATGCCAGCCATCATGTGTTTTCAAAGGTACTGCGGGCCCAAGGCGGGAAAGTTGGACACTATCGATGTGTGCTGGTCTAGTGACAACACAAATGTGACTCATTACAACAAAAACAGATATTCGAACATGGACATGGGAGGGACGAGTATTGGCCGCAAATAAGTTCACTGCAAAGTGGACCGCGATGTGAGCAGTCTAGAACAGGTTTGTTTGCGACCCGCATCAGGATGTTTGTTTATTCCCAACTCAGGGAATGTTTCATGGAGATTCCATCGGGGATTCTAGTGGAACCCAGAGGAGCGGTTCAACGGGGTCTCCCACGGGGATTAAACACACGACGGATGAGCGGCCGGATGAGGAAGAAGAAACAACGGCAGAGAGCGGGCCGTTTGGGAAATCATGTGATGATAGTCGGAGGGTCAAAGCGACATAGCAACGGGGTTCCGAGACGTCGGACAGATTGGACGGACACCGAAGGCGGAAGGAGAGTGGCAGCGAGAAAGGCAATGTCTGACCACCGGGACTACGGCAGCGCGCACGCAGTAGAAGTTGACTGGCCGAGCGCGGAGCGGGGACGGATCGGCAAATGTTTTGGCGACAGAATTAAAAGAAGAACAACCAAGTGTTGACTTGCTGACTTGGATGCACCCCGGATTTTGGACTGGCGACGACGATGATGGTTGCGTGCCGGCGCCGGGAGCCGTCCGTCGATGACGGAGTGATGAAGGGCGAATGGCTCGATTAACTTCATTAGCTGGGAGGAAGGCCCCCTACAGAGAATGGATAGGGCTTCCGGGCTAGGTTTAGCTGGAGTGCATGAAGTCTGGGGAAGAGTCTAGTTGAATTTGAGTGTCTGCATGAGGTCATGTTTTTGGGATGACAGGCGCGGTTTGCTGGATGCGATTGAGGGGATTCCAAGGTGTGGAAGGGATTGAGTCTGAGCTCAGCGTTGTATGGTTTGTGGGTGGTGGTGGTGGTGTGAGAGGGGTGATGCATGTCGAATGACGTCGTCACGATGGGGGTAGCGAGGGAGGGAGGAAGGAGTAAGACGGATAATGTGAGGTCGGAGGCGGCAGCAGTCAGGAAGCGAGTTTGACGATGCAGCTCAGTCAATGGGAGCGGGCCGGCTCGAAATGCCGCGGCTGAAGCGTGAAATGGTCAAGCAATTAAGTCAAGCTGGTTCGGGCCTGGTGCGGATGGGATTCCGGAGACGAGGGAAAGAGTCGGAAGAGGAGCGAGCCAGTGGCGCACTTGAGGTGAATTACAGCTTGCTTACCTTGTCGAACGCAGCAGGATGCAGATCTGGAAATAGGACGATTTTCGGGCGGTGCAATCACACACAGCATTGCGCGGTGGACGAGGCAGCAGCGACCAAAAAAAGCGCTCATCGCCTCGTTTCCAGCAGACGGCAGAGTCAGTCAGAGGTGCGCTTTTCTGGTGCAGGTGCAGTGCGGCAATGCGGGCGATCGTGATGCAGTGGTCTCAGTCACTATGCAATAGGTAGGTAGCGACAGTAAAAGAAGGAACGGCCAACGGCTGAGGTCCTGCCCTGGACGTTGGACTCTGAAGGGAGGTCCTGCATGTTCCAGGGTCCACACCTGCCGGCCTCGTCCAATCCGGACAGCGAACTGGTAACAAGAAGCAAGTAGCGGGTACTTTTGCCGGGCCGGGCTCCCTTTCGTCCAGCAGGTTCCACCAGTCGCCGTGTCCGACAGTTTGGCGGCCAACGGGCGCTGGCAGTGGCAGCCCAAGCAGCCTGAGGCAAGCCCAACCCCGCCATGGGCACTCACGGTGCTGGCGGCCAATGTAGTCGAAACAGGCACCAAGATGCCCTCCCGTCAGTTCCATCCTGCTGCGCCTTGCTCGCCTCAGTTTATCTTGGGCGAGGCACGGCACCTTATGTGTACGGTACCTCAAGATGCCTTCCTTGCCTTACCTTACCTCACCTCAGAACATAAGCTAGAGAGGTAGGTACCTAATAAGCTACCTAGGTAGCTAGGTAGGTAAGCTACAGTACCTAAGCAGAGGCTAATGCTGCAGTGACACCCGACGTCAAGTTCTTAGGACGCTCCAACCGTGACTTAGGTTTGCAGTGAAGCCGCTCCAGCAGAGAGAGGCATCCCCAGCCTCCATCTCCACACCCTCACCCTCCATCGCGAAGCAGGGAGCCATCTTGTTGGATGAGGTTGAAAAAAACAGGAAGAAGACGACTTGTCGAAGAGAGGCATCTGTAACGGACTTATTTGGGAGCATCCCTTCCCTCACGTGTCGTGTCTTGTTAACTACACCTGCACCCGGCACCTGCTTCGTGCATCTTCATCTCTTCTTATTCGAGAGTGTGATTGTATAAGACATCCCCAGCAGCAGCAATACCCCAAAAGCCTCACCTGCCACCCTCATCACCACCTCTGGGGCACCAGTGACCTCCATCACACCTCACCGTCTTTCGTCTCCTTTGCTATTCGTGCCGCATTCTCCAACTCTGAATCACCCATCCCCCTCTTCCGGTACCCGCCCTTCGCCCCGACAACCTCGTCACATTCCTCCTCTGTCTTCTCGCCCTCGCCCTCGCCCTCGCCCTCTCTCACCATCATCCATCGCATTTCCCCTCTTGTTTCACAAACATCACGAGCCTCCTCTCTCCATCTATCTTTCTCAGGTCTCTATGTCAGGCATCCGTCTCTAGCAGTGCCAGTGTCAACCCCTGGTCCGGCGCACCCACCCTGCTGCACCACGCTGAGCGCACCACTGAGCGAACCGCACCACACCCGCACCATTCCTCCACAGGTACTGGTACAGGTACCCATAACGCCCTCTGCAGGTCACGAACCACCCGGCCTCACCTGCACCACCCCATTCTCCGTCCTGAGTCCTGTCCGTCGCCTTCAACTCCTCAAGACCCCCCGGCAAACCGACCGACCACCTTCGTCACCAGATTTACGGAACCCCGCTATTTTTTACCTACTGCCTGCCCACATCTGTGACTACACAACTTCCCTGCTGGTAAACCAAAGCCACAACACAACCTACACCACCACACCTCACGAGGTTCGCATCACGTCTGCAACTTCTTCCCTCTAGCAACAACACCAAACCATCAACCCTAAGCTCGTCCGGCCTAGTTCATCCACCCGCGAACTACTTCAAAATGGCAGCCGTCGTCGAACACAGCCCCCCGTCGCATTCCCCTCCGGGCCACAACGCGAAGCGACCCAAGGGTAAGTCCTCCATCTCTCTCTCTGCCGACCGGCGCGAATCCCACCATACGCGATAGAGCTGCAAGACTGACTGAAGTCGTTTGCAGGAATCCTCAAGAACTCATTCCAAAGATCTCCGCCCACCTCGCCCAGCGAAGAGCACCCTCTCACCGAGAAGGAGCTCACCATCGTCAACACCCAGTACAACGCCGGCCACCGTCGCTCATCTTCCGCCGCTCGCCCCTCGGGCTCCCGCCGCCAGTCCAGCCACACCCCTTCCGCCCACGGCGACGACGAGCAGGACTTGGAGTCTTCCCAGCGCCTCAAGTGGGACGAGGCGAACCTGTACCTCACCGAGCAGGAGCGCTCCTCGACCATGAAGATCGATGAGCCCAAGACCCCCTACGCTAAGCACTATGACCCCACCGAGGATCCCTCCGAAGACGAAGAGATGGAAGACCCGACCGTTGAGCGCAAGCCTCGCACGGCTCGTGCTGGCCCTGGCGTGGAAGATGATATCCCTGTCATGTCGCTTGGCGAGCCGGAAGAGGCGGTCCCGGAGAGCGAGTCGTCAAAAGAAAAGGCCCTCAAGGCCGTCCACGTCGAGGAAACCGACTCCTCTCACGGCGGCGACGAGGATGACCTGGCTGGTCTCTCCCCCGAGGAGAGGGAGAAGCACCATCGTTTCGAGCAGTTGCGCAAGAAGCACTACGAAATGAAGGATGTGGCCCACTTGTTGGGCCACCCCGAGGAACTACCCGAAGAGGAGGACGACGAAGACGCCGCCAACCCGCCTCCTGTCCCTGCTCTTCCACGACCCAGTCAGGCCACCAACGGCCAGGCCTGAGCCCCAACACCATCAACGACCATCGCGAATGAGTTTTGGCCGGCTGGCTCGGCGGTTTGTCCACCGTTTGGCTGCGCCCGCGTCAAGGAGAGAAGACATGTCACGGGAGACGTATTACGAGCATTTTAACGGATTGTTTACCTGTTTTGGGGTTGAGGTGGAGATCAGCATCCGGCAACGGCGTGGTGACACACGAAGGAGTTCTGGGTGGTTATCACGAATGGTTTTTGCGGCGTTCCGGGGCCTTCGTGTCTGTAATCGTCGCGATTCACCAGTATTGCAGCAGGCGCCCCTCCGTCCTGGTGGTCAGGTGGTTGCAACACCGCCACCAGGCAGGAGCGTATCAGCACGAGTAGGTAGGCTTTTTGCTTCCGCCAGCAAATGGCATATTCAATAGAGTCTCCATTGCCTAATAACTCCGGTCCCGTTCGTGAATTAATAACTGTGACATTCTGCTGGCCGCCCCGTGGGGACGTGTCCATTGGTATCCTGCGCCTGCGATGCTTGGTATTCCCATCATTCTCTACAGTCTAGCAATCATCATCTCTTAGAGCATGCCCTTGCGCGCAAGCTCAACCTTCCTTGCCGCCTCGCCAGCAGCAAAGCCGCCCCTCGAAACGCAGATGCGGTTGCCCTCGGCGAGCTCGACTTTGTCTTGGTTCGCGGGCCAGGGGCAGGGGCAGTGGTGCGGGAAGTGGACGCAGGCGAGGGTGTCAGGGCAGAGGTAGTGTTCGCAGTAGGCTGCAAGGCGTTAGCTTTTCAGTCCTTATGATATACAACCTCCTGGAAAGCACTCACATCCGTCATATCGTTGCTGGTATTGCGATGGGTCGCTGGGGACGTTCTGGGGCTGCTGTTGCTGCTGCTGGCCGCCGAACATTTGCTCAAAGAAGCCAAACTGGGCCTGCGTCGAGCTAATCAGGGAGAGCAAGACGATGGGGAGGGAGGCGAGGAGGCGCATCGTGGGCAATTGGTTTCAGAAGCAGTTCAGCGATTGAAAACGTGTTTTGCAGTGATTTTAGGTGAGCGATTGTTTGTGCATCCGTTGTCGTTGTTCCTGCATCTGAATGCGCCCAGCTGTCCAAAAGACACATGCACCAAGAACATCCACCACCACCAACGGTCATCCTTATCGTTATCGCACCCCGCTGACTCAGCCGGAAAAATATCCTCAGGCGATCTCCCTGGGCAAACTCCAAGGTCCATCGAAATTCGCGATCGCCGAGCCAGCCAATCCATCCGACGACGAATGGGCAGCCCGTCCTCGAAACACACCTCATGCGTCTACTCCAAATGCAGCAGCCCTTGAGGGCCGCTGCCGCCGGTCTGCTCCGGCCGACGGTCCTCCCGACCCAGCAGCCCTCCGTCGTGGCAGCCGCGAATGCCCTCGTTGCGGGACGCCGATACGCCTCCGTCAAGTCGCAGGGTGCCTACAAGCTGCAGCCCAAGAGGACGATACCGAAGAAGCTGGGAGCGAAGCGGACGGGTGGTATGTGATCATACAATACATGCTCTCTCGGAGGAGGAGGAGGGGGAGACTGCGATTGAGCCTTTTGGTTGGGTTTTGCTAACCTTTCCCCACACATCACAGACCAGTATGTCATCCCCGGCAACATCATCTACAAGCAGCGCGGCTCCCTCTGGTGGCCCGGCGAGAACTGCATCATGGGCCGCGACCACACGATCCACGCCATGGCCTCGGGCTACGTAAAGTACTACCGCGACCCGGCGCGGCACCCGGACCGCAAGTACATCGGCGTCGTCTTCAACAAGGACGACGTGCTGCCGTACCCGACGCACGCGGAGCGCAAGCGCAAGCTCAACATGGCGGTGCACCCGATCTCGAAGCCCGTCGAGACGCCCGCCGTGTCGGCCTCGGGCATCCCGACGCAGGTCGTGCGCGCGGCGCCGCGCACGACCAAGGGCGTGGCGACGCAGCCGCCGCGCGTGCTGAAGCTGCGCGACGACTACTCGTACCGCGAGGACAACTGGCGCATCGGGCGGCTGGTGAAGCTCAAGACGGGCGGGATGAGCCGCAAGGCGCGGTTCAGGCATAAGCGGTGGGCCAAGGAGAAGATGATGACGGGCCAGAGGGCGGCGGCGGCCAAGTTTGCGGACATGGAGATTGACGAGTGGACCATTGCGGCGAGCAAGAGGCTGCAGGAGCAGAGGAACGCTGCCAGCAGGGCCAAGAACGTCAAGGCGAAGCAGAAGGCGGCTAAGAAGGCGGCCAAGGCCCAGAAGGCGAAGCGGTGATGTGGTAGGGCGGCTGCGTCTGATGAGGGGATGAGGGGGGATGTGTAGTACGGCCTGGGATCTTGAGACAGGTCTTGGGCGTAGATGTAGAATATCTTGTACAAATCATACGGACCATCCATGACATGACTGTGTGCAGCAGAGGGGCTACCTTGATAGCTCACCTCACTTCCCAAGACTACCAACAATGGGCGAACAGACCGTCGCAAGATGGCCTAGAGATGGATCGTATGCCTGGTTTCGGCAGAGGTTGATGGTTCAAGTTCTTGAGGTGGCCCTGTATATCTCCAGTCGTAGTCAATTGTTTTTCTTTTTATCTTTTTGATTTCACCTGAGGCCCATAGTGTCGATGAAGCGATGCGTCTGGTGAGGGTAGTCCTGTATATAATAACTGAGGGCACGAGTAAACGATGAGATTGGATATTTCTTTTAATAAGACTATAAGACCACCTGTGAGAATTGGAAGGAGTTTCTCAACCTTAGATTTACTCTTCCTTCCGTTTCATGTGAACTTGGAGATATTCCAAGTGGGGGTGGGTCTTGCCTTCCTTGTACCTCACTGCTGAATTCCCGCGGCAGGTACATGCCCTGGTCCCTGCCACTTTAGTCGCGTCCAGTGTCCCGGTCGCGTCTCCCACGAAACGTCAGTCTTCACTTCATTCCTACTATTCAACTTCCACATTCGCTCATTAGATCGCCATCAACGGCCGGTTGGCGCCGATTTCGACTTGAAATTGACACGCTCCCAAATAGAGACGTCTGTGACTTTGACGGCGCTTCAACCTGTCGATAGGAACGCCGTCAGCGCCCACAGCAGGTACCCCGTGCAGCGCATGCTCGCTCAAACGGGCATCGCATTCGCGACGACAAAGAAACCCGATGATGGCATCCAACCCCCCACGCATCACACCCATACCAATCCCTGTACCCGGCCATGCACCATCGCCTCAGCCGGCTCCCGCCACGTCGGCAACGAAGGTGCTGAATTCAACCGCCGCCAACCGCAATGCCTCACCATCGTCGGTTTCCAGCGCAGGAGAGGACCCCGCGAGGAAGATGAAGCGTACTAGTGCCAAGGTGAACGTCAAGCCCGGCGCATTCCTGCAGGCGCCTCCGTGGGCAGCTTCACTTCTGAGCTCTAAGCCCTCCACTTCAACTTCGACCGGATCAGTGGGAGCCAACTCCGTCTCTGGGGCCGGGGTACCTAACCTTGCCCCGCCAACTCAGGATCACAGCATGGTCCTGGACAGCCCGGAGCCCATTCGTATTGAGAGCGATATCCTGCCTCCAGATCCTGAAGGCCCCGTGAAGTCGGAATTTAGCCCCGAGGATACGCTGTTGGAGGATGTAACACCTGCCAAGCCGTCACTGTCGATGAGCTCCCAAATCCAGGCATTGCAGCAGTCGTGGCAGGCCAAGTCGACTTCAGCGGATTCTCAGGAACCGGAAGAGATTATGAGACGGGTGTCAAGTGGTGGTGAGTGCGCCTTTGGATGACCCGAGGCGAAGCCTGGCATAGCTGAGGAGGCCAAAACTGCTTGGATGAACCTCGAAGAGCACGATCTAACATGCACTGCAGATGTTCAGCCTTCAAGGAAGGCTCTCAATTGGACTCAGGCATTACAGGCAAAGACTCAAGCGTTACAAGCGAAGAGAAAACAGTCATCGGGTTTGCCGGGCGGTGATTCCAAACGCAGGCTGACAGAGAATGGCGTGGGATCTGGATCGGAGGATGCCACGGCCAACCATGGGTCGAGTCGACAGTCGATGTCAACATCAACGTCTGCTGAAGCCTCACATGCGCCAACGTCTAGCGCCAAACCGGGCTTCATCCCAATCAAACGGCAGCCCCTATCTGTATCGTCCTCAGACGACAATGGCATGCTTGGCGATGATTCAACCGACTCCGACTCTGACTCTGAACCCGATGCTCCAGTCCAGCTTGACAGCGGAGACACTGACCCGCCACCTCGCCCGTTCAAAATGTTACCAACAGTCTGTGAAACCAAGTCCTATCTCTTCAAACATATACTAATGGTAATTGCCTCGTTAGTTGTATGGGCGACCCGAAAATGAGCTTACAACTACCAACGACGGCGATCGTCTCTATTGCCAGTGGAAGGGGGAGAATACCCCGCTGGAAGCGTCATGCGGCGCGCTTTTGCCCACTGGATACACCTTGCACTCCGATCCCGAGTATCCCTTCATCTGCCCCGATCGTATGTGCCGCTCTATCTTCAGGTCGATTCAGGGGCTCGGAAAGCACTTCGGAGTAAGTTGTGAGGTTGTATGCATAGGGCCACCTTGGCTAACAACATGATAGGCAAGGCATCGAAACACTATGTACAACGACAACTTGGATGGCACCGTTTCGGCGGTCAGCTTCTTTGACATTCCGGGAACAACACGAGCCTCGCCCGTCATGGTTTCTAGGAACCCGCTCCAGGGTGACGAGCCGCCGATGCCAGAACCACAGACCACAATCTATAAGCCATATGGTTCAAAGGTTCAAGCGATGTCAACAGCAGCGGGGATACCTCAATCTCAGTCTTTGTCACAACCCCTATCACAACCCCAACCACAAACGACAGCGACCAGGACAACTCGCTCGCACGCTTCCCCTCACTCGACCCTACCAAACCACCACGAGCCGGCACAACCGTCATATTTCCAATCTGCAAAACCCATGACCTTATTGGAGTACCTCACCTCTCAACTGTCACCGACTTACAGACTCCCGGCTGAGAGGCCGGACTTCAAGGCTCTATTGAAACTACCAATGGCAAGGCATTTCCCTCCCCAGTGGACGATGAAACACTCGGGCGTTGGGAACTTGGCGCCCCTTACTGCACTTTCGCTCTTGGTATTTTTGACTGGTGATCCTGCGCCTGTGTCTTGCTCAACATGCAATGGGCCAGACCATGACGCATTTGAAAACACTCTTCGCCCATGTATTGTCCTTTCAAGCCGAGCACCTTCGTGGCTGAAGGAGACAGTCAATGAAGCATGCGCATCCTGCCAGTGGCGGTGCAATTACAAAAGGCAGAAAGTGCAATGCGATTTTCTGCCAGCCTTTAGAGGGCGGACGTTGACTGCTTTACCATCCCCTGCGCCTGCCGCAACTCCTACTCCCATTCCGTCTCCCGCCATCCCTCCCTCGTCTGCAGCGCCATCCTACAGCCTGCCCAAAAACGCCAAATTTCCTTATGGAGGACCTGCTGGTGATAACCAAGCCGGCGTGAATTCACCGGCTCTTCGTTCCCCAGCCATCACCACACCTCCCGTCGGCACAACGCCTGTGACTACGACGAGACCAAGCAGCCCGCCGAGACGAGTTACGAGGCATTCTGCGGCCACAAAGACCGCTTACGACTCTGCCCCTGCGTCGACCTCTTCTACCAAGCCGGCTCCCGCCGCTATCGTCCCGCCCAATGCAGGTCAGACAATGCCAGCAGAGCTCTTGGACATGGAAGAGTGGGAAATCGCTCCTGGACGTGTTCGCGACGACCAGAGCCAGGAACCGACGAGTAAGTCGATGATTAACCGTCACGCCATGCATCTTTCACTGACAAACTCGCAGACGTGGCATTCTCGAATGCGTACCTTACATCCAACCAAGCCGTCAGCGTCTCAGAAGATATTGCTTTTAACGTCATCGTTATCAAGCCCGGCGGCTCTCATCGATGGACCGATGAGGAGGACAAGGTGCGCATATGCTCTGTCGCCGTGGGCAAAGTCAAGGTGAAGTTGGACATGACAGACCCTTTTCAGATTGGGCCGAATGGCATGTTCAAACTGAAGCCTGGCACGTCATGCTCCATCGAAAACAGGACATACATCGACGCCATCATCCACGTTACATCCGTGACGCTTTACTAGACCATCGGCAAATCTCACGGGGCAAGAGACATGTATTTATATGTAAACGACATTAGCGACTTATTTTTAGACACTTGGCGGGGGTATTCAAAGCCGGCGCAAACATATTAAACGTCATTCACCCGCCAAAAGGGGGCATCTTCTATCTCAATCTTACATAGAGTCTCAACGTGCCTCATTCTCCGCACATGGCAGCGTCGGGCTGTTCTACACCTTCATCGCCACCTTCTCATCCGGTCCTTTCATGTCGACGTTCTCGGGCATTGTTACAGCCTCGATAACCTGGGCATCGCCGTCTTCCTCAGGCCTCACATAGTCCCTGGGCTCCACCCACTTCTCCTCCATGATCGGCGGCGGCCAAATCTTGCACGTCACCCAGAAGGTGAAACCCGACAGTGCAAGTCCAACCCAGTACGCAAAGTAGTAGTATCTTGTGACACCAATCGGCGCCGAAACACCCATGTTATTGAGGAAGCCGTAGAAGTTAGGGATGATGCCGATGATGTAGGCAACGTAGGCGCGGATGTTCCAGCCGTGAGTATAGTAATACGCTCCTGACTTCATCGAGGTGAAGGCGTCGGGAATGTGGATCCGGCCGCGGCCGATCAGGTAGTAGTTCACAAGCAGCACGCCGGTGATGGCAGACAGAAAAGTCTGGTAGGACGAGAGGAAGGAGACAAACACCGACGCGGAGCCCTGCGCTTGTTAGCATCTTAGGATTCGTTGAGGCAGTCGGCACAAGACCTACCAGCAGAAACCAGGGGTTGATTGCAAACGAGATGACGGCACAAACGAAGAAGCCCCTCCTGACGGTAATGTACTTGGGGAACAATGCCGCGATATCGTTGCCAGCCGGCAGTGAGTTCTCGAAAATCGAGCTGAAGATGCAGCAATACGCAAAGCATCCTGCAATAAAGAAGCAACCCGCGCGGTTCGCGGCGGTATATTCCGCCGTCTGCAAGTTATCCAGCAGCGTAACCGGATTCCACACCAGCTCCCCGAAAATCAACTCGCTGCTCGCGCACACGAGATTTCCCACGGCGGCGACGATCAAGTTGGCCACGGGGAAACCAAAGATGTTGCCTAGAATCACGTCGTTCTTCTTCTGGGCATACCGCTGGAAGTCTGCCGCGTTGGACGCGAAGGTTGCGCAGTTGGCCGCGCCGAGCATGAAGAACTGCACAATCAGCCACGCGCGGGTCGACCCCGTCGCGGTGCCGCCGCGGCGGACGACGGGCCCGAGGCCACCGGCCTTGGTTGCGGTCCACGCCAGCATCGCGACAGCGGAGACGACGAAGACGGCGAGCTTGGCGTAGACGAGGCCGCGCATCTTGGGGACGGGGATGACGAGGAAGGCGCAGGTGATGAGCCAGAAGATGACGAAGCCGATCATGCCTGCGGTGGTGAGCGCGCTGCCCTCGCCCATGGTGTTGGGTATGTCCGCGATGCCGGGGATGATGGCGTGCAGCATGACGTAGATGCACTGGCCGCCCTGGACGGCGTTGACGCCGTTCCAGACGATGGCCATTACGGCGCGGTTGAAGGTCGGCCACCAGGCGCCGTAGACGCCGAAGGCGGTGCGGCAGAAGACGGGGAAGCCGACGTGGTAGGTGGCGCCGGGGCGGCCGTTGAGTGTGATGATGATGGCGATGAGGCACTGGCCGCCGAAGGCGCAGCCGAGGGACTCCCACATGGAGAGGCCGAGGGCCTGGGCGGTCGAGGAGGCGTACCAGTTCGAGACGGTGGCGACGGCGGAGAACCAGAAGGTGAAGTAGGTCCATTGCGTCCAGGTGCGGTCGGCGAGCTTGAGGGGCCGGATGTCGTCGTTGTTGAGGAGGGCGTCGTGGCCCTCGAGGGTGCCGGCGGCCGGGGGGACCCGGAGGCGGTTGAGCAGGCCCATCTTGGTCAGCTCGTTTGTTGGAGTTCAGTCCGGTGTTCAGGGAGTTGATCAAAGTTGCCCGCCCACCCGCTGTACGAACAGCACGAAATTCGATGAACATGGTGCAGGCGTGACGGGAGACAACATGTGTGCGAGCGACTTATACCAAATCATGGCGATTCAAATTCTAATCATATCAGAGTCTCTTCGTCAGCGGCAATGATAAACCGAAGATACTGGGTGCCGTCGACGCGGTGGGATGTGGGGGAGATAAGCTGCCCCTGCAAGGATTACACGCAGCGGCATGATCAGCGCGACTCGTAGGACGGCCCTCTCCGGGGCGCATGTGGTGTTCGCGATGGTTTCGAGAGGCGAATGGGGTGTAACTGATAGGTGCAAGCCGAATTCAACTTATAAGAGCATGATATATCCAGCACGTGGTCTTTGAAGTGCAACAAATCGCCCATAGCTTACACGCAGAGGCTCGAGATGGGCCGCAGAACAAGCCCCGGGAAAGCACCCCTGGCGCTCCGAAAACCGGGGTGAACCCCGTACCCCACACGGCCGTTGTCGGCCCAGACCTCCGACCGATAAGGGACCGACAAACCGCATCGCACGCCATTATCTACGCCTATCGTGCAATCTCCCGCAGCAGCTGCAGGTTAGGCGAGATCCGGTGAACTCCGCCGGAAATCGAAATAAAGCCTCATTGAGGCTTTACCACAATTGAGGCTCAAGCTGTTCGTCGATCTGAGCCAGGGGCCCTGTCGTCGGAGTTGAACGGCCTCATCCGTTCGTCTGAAGCTATTTATCCGTGCGCCAGAACCTCGCAATCAATCTTATCGCCACTGAAAGATGATGAGACCATAGAAGAAGAAATCTCACCACTACACATCCACAACTCATCACGCAGTTTGCCTACACAGGCAGTTTAGACTCAACACCGCCAACATGTCGACCACGGTGACGGAAACGGCGCCGGAGAGCTACAAGCTTGAGCTCATGTCCGCCTACGGCCCCGTCTACCGCGACGTCCTCCGCACCCCGCCCCGGGACTGCTCCCCCTCCGAGGTCCCCGTCATCGACCTCTCCCACATCCGCGGCGCCGAGGCGGACCGCAAGGCCCTAGCTGCCACCATCCGCGACGCCGCCGAGAACACGGGCTTCTTCTACATCAAGAACCACGGCATCCCCAAGGCGACGATCGACGCGGCCTTCAAGCAGGCGCAGGCCTTCTTCTCGCAGCCCAACGAGAAGAAAGCCCTCGTCGCGCAGAATAAGTCAAAATTCTTTAACGGCTGGACGGAGAAGCGCGCCGCGCAGATCTCGCCGACCGAGACCAAGGACCACCGCGAGGGCTTCAGCTTCCGGTACGACCCGGCGCACGACCCGGAGCCCAAGGACCCGCAGGCCGTGCCGGCGGAGGTGCAGCCGTGGATGAAGCACGAGGACTTCGTGTGGGAGGGCACGAGCCACCTGCCCGGGTTCAAGGAGGACATGGTCACGTACTGGCGGGAGTGTCTGACGCTGGCGCGGAGCATGATCCGCATCTTTGCGCTGGCGCTGGACGTGCCGGAGAGCTACTTTGACGACGTCATCACGTACCCCGGCAGCGACAGCGTGTGCAACTACTACCCGAAGAACACGGAGCCGCAGGACGCGACGATCGACGTCGGGCTCGGGGCGCATACGGATCTCCAGTGCTTCACGCTGCTGTGGCAGGACAGCGTGGGCGGGCTGCAGGTGCTGACGAAGGACGGGCAGTGGATCAAGGTGCCGCCTGTGCCGGACACGTTTGTGATCAACATTGGCGATTTCCTGCAGAGGCTGTCGAACGACCGGTTCAAGTCGACGGTGCACCGGGTGTTCAACTACGCACCGACGGACCGGTACTCGATGCCGTTCTTTTTCGGGTTCAACCACAATGAGCAGTGCGCGGTGCTGCCCACTTGCGCGGATGAGAAGAACCCGCCCAAGTATGAGCCGATCAGCTGCGGAGAGGTGAGTTGAAGCGCTTCTTTATTTTACATACTTACTGACGTTTACCAGTGGTGTCGTTTGAGATTTGAGAGGACCTTTGAGTTTTCGAGGAGGAAGAATCAACTCGAAGGCAAGACGGAAAATGTTGCACCGTATTGAGAGACACAGGGCAAATAGCGGTCGTTCTCAAAAGCTTGATTCATTATATCCAAAGCAGCGCTTGAAATAGAGTAAAACTATGAACTTCATTCATGGTCCAAGTACACAACTTCGGTCCACCACCCAAAAGTAGTCCTCACGTGCAATAGTAAGAGCCGTTGCAAGCCCGCTTACACTGGCTGAACTCCGAAATGATGCTGCAGTCCCCGCTTGAGTTACACTGCATCCCTCCCGGATGACATTTTGAGCTTGATGAGGTTGTGGTGTGCGCGGCCGCGGTGGTGGTGGTGGTGGTAGTCCCGTCACTATTGCCGCTGCCGCTGCCGCTATTGCTCGTGGAGGCGCTGCTCCCAGACGGCGACGAATGTTGAGTAGAGACTCCAGCGGCAACACCAATGACAATGATAATGACGATAGCGAAGAACACAACGCCGAATATGATGGCCTTCTGGCGATTACGCCGGAACCAGGAGCCGGTCGGAGGTCCCTCGGTCTCCCCGGGGCTTTCGTTCACCGAAAGGTACGACTGCAGCTCGGTTACGCCAACAGTTTCAGTTTTGACAGGAAGACCATGATGTTGTTGCTGTTGTTGCTGTTGTACTGACGAAAAGACTTCTGGGCTGACTTGCTGAGGAGTTACTGGTTGAGGGGCTGCCATGTTTGTAGTGTAGATCTGGGCGCGGATACCAAAACCTGGGGAAATGAGTAGTGTGAGATTGCCGTGAGACAAAACTGCCAATGGAGCAGCTTTAAATGCCTTGGCAGGCTCAGGATCTTGGACCAGGCTGAATTTGGCTTTACGATGGTGGCGGGTCGCTCTTTGTTGCCAGCAGAATTCATCGCAGCCTAGCGTAACGCCTCCTACCAGCAGATCGACTTACAAGCCGGTAAGAACTCTGTTATTCATCGCCAAAATTGCGCTATGTTTTCAGCTGAACGCCTCAAGGTGCCCTGCAGCCTTTCAGCTGAAAGGAAATATCGCCGTAACGGCCACAGGAGGCATCTTTTGGCTTTTTGACGATTATTGAACATGACCAGACGGGTGCAGCACTCGTTTCAGACGTTCAAACAGCCATGAATGTGAACAACTCTCGTGGTAAGATAAAGAATTAGAAACTACATCAGAAGAATGGAAAAAAGCGTTATGTGTTGGTTGGAAAGAAATCTGACAGATGGCCTTAGGAAGCTAGGCTCAATGGAGGCGCTTGAAGCGCAGAGACTGTCTAGCCTTACAAGCCGACTTAGCCGGCCGAGAAGCAGAAGAAGTAGCGTTGACTAAATGGGCAGCAGCAGACAAGAGACCAGAAGAAGTCGGTACGGCAGTGGGTGTCGGCGCCAAGCCAGCAGATCCATTGACGCTCGGCGGCAGGGTTGGGAAAGCGGAGGAAGTGGATGATGCCGGAGGACTACTGCTGTTAAGCTTGCCAATACCAGCATTGGCCTTCACAAAATCCGGGACGTCGGAGACCTTCATTGGCTTCAGGAGAGACTCCGACGCATACTTGAGCTTGTCGATAGCAACGGTCTTGTTCAGGGGAAGCAGTTCGCCAGACTGGCCACCAACGCTGTTGGGCTCGCAAAGGCGCCCCATGGGATCCTGGCAGGCCGCGGCATCCGCGGAGGTCTCCACAACGAAGATCTCTCCGGCGCTGTTGTAGGTGTTGGGCTCGATGGGTCGGGAGACATTCTCGAAATGGTTGCCCTCGAGCAGGGCCTGGATATGGTCTCCGATGGCAAAGGCGTGGTCGTCGTCTCCCTCCCACAGATTGTTGACGCCCTGAAACATGACTTCCTTGGATCCTCCGACGTTTGGCGCGCGCCCAGAGACATGGTGAAGGTAGTTATAGGCGAAAGTGTAGTTCGCCTTCGAGGCGATGAGGAGGGCGTTGTAGTAGTGTTGCTGGTTGCAGGAGAAGTCCGTCTTGCCGTCGAACTCGTGGTGGGAGATGGTAACAGCACCGGCAGGGCCCCATCCGGAGACGATGTGCTGGCGGCCAATCAAGGAAGTCTTGCAGTGGTCGATCCAGATCTTGTCAGTGCCGTCCATGGAGATGGCGTCGCCGCCCCAGATGTACTCGGGGTCTGCGAATGAGCCTCGTCAGCGTCTTTGATCCCTGGACACGACAATGCGTAGGCGGGGCTACTTACTCAGCTCTGTGATGTGGATGTTTTGGAAGATGACGTTGCTGACATCGTGGGACATGCGGAATCCCTTGCCTCGAATGACGCCGCTTTCTCCAACACCAACAATGCTTTTGTTGCTGGCAACATAGATAGGTCGAGTCGGTGCGTTCCAGTAGGTGCAGGAGATCTTCTGCATGTCACCACAGTCGTCGCCAATGTACACCTGACCATGGCGACTAGAATCCTTGCATTGGTAGGACTTTTCGTCCCGACAGCATGTTCCGTCTGTGGATCCTTCGGTCTCAAGGAAGTCAAACAGACGATCAATCATGATAGTACGGGGCTGGCTGTCAGTGAGCCATTCGACAAGCCTTGATACTGAGTCAACCTGACGAAACGCCTCTGCCCTAAGCATTTACTTACTCTTCATTGCTTGATGGAACTTGAGGCTTTGCGTCGCCACCACCTGTGGTGCCGGCTGCAAATCCAAATGCCTCTCCGGTGACTTGCGCAGCTATCTTGCCCGCAGCAGCCGCTGCAACAATGGAAAGAAAGAATGACTTCATGTTGGAATCAAAAGAGTGACAATGAATGAACGTGAAAATCCGCAAAGGACCATAAGGAGTGGACTGAAGAAATGTACTACCAAAACAGCATTGATTCGAATTCCGTTGCGTTTGAAATGTATTTAACACCGTGATCCTTCAACGCGGAGGTTCCTGTAGACTGACCCCAGGCCATCTATACAATAAGATGAACGGATCGTATAGAGTGGGGTTTTCTAGACCGATTTGGTGTAGATATTCCGCGCTTTTCTGCTTAAGGTCAACGCAGCAGGGCTCAAAGTCCTTAGTGAATCTCAGGTGGCCGTTTGTGGCCATCCGCGGCTCGAATGTCCGACAGCTAGTCAGCCAACACAGCAAACAATGATTACCGATATCCCCTGATTTGCTTACACATAATACGAAGTCTTCCCAAATGGACATGTCTTGAGCCTTTCCCTAATGAAATGCCAAGTATCTATGGGTTGAAGAAGGGCAAGTTCCTTTCTTGTGGACCCGGGCGGCAGTTCCCTTATCCGCTTAGCACCTCTGTTGTCGATTTCGCTCTTCAAACGGACCAGGGACACACACTGTTCCCGTTGTCTTTGCCATTTTTATCGTCATTCCTATTGCCTTTGTTGTCGTCTGTCATCCCTGAAGTCACTTCGCCCAGTGAACAACGACACCGAAAGGATTGTAGCCAGAAACGTGCTACCCAGCGAACTTCGAAACACGACCAAGTTCGTGATGTGTATTACGACACATCGATGTTTACAGAATCCTTCCAACACTTTTAACACACAAAAGGGTCGAATCTTTCTTAGAGGTGAATTCCAGTCTGTTGTGGCACAGTCGTAGAAGATCATTCTCTTGCGTCTTGCGAGATAAGGAATTTTTATCAAAAGCATGCTTCGATTCAGAGTTATATATGAGTGCGAGTGTATAGAATGAGTGTGGTAAAAGCTCCTTAGTCATAAGAGCTAGAAGTCTTCAAAACAAATTGTCTCCAATCAAGAATTGCATCAATAAACATAGGAGTTATTCCATCCCCCAAACCAAGTTTTACTCAGATACCAGTCTGAGGGCACTTTCATCAACGACGATTGTTAAATCAATTGCACCAGGGCGTTACTGGCCCTTGCCCTTGCACTTGCGCCACTGAACATAATATTTCTGGGTAACCTTAAGATCGTTGGAATCGACCTTGAGTAGAGTTCAAGTAAGCTTTGAAGTAGGAAAGTAGCATGTCACAGACTTACAGTCATGAGGGAGGCTTTTGTACTGCTCAGGGGATTGAGCTCGATGGCAGTCTTGATGTTGAGCATGCCTTCGGTGCCACAGGGAGACCAGACGATCGACTCAAGACTGAACTTGTCGGTCTTGGTGTAATCATCGTTGATCGGGCCCTTGAAGGACAAAGTTCGGTGAGCCTTATGAAAGGTAAGCATGCGTTGTCTGCGATTGATGGGGAAAGAATTAATAGACTCACCGTCTTCTCATCTCCAGAGAAGTAGTAGGTCGCCTTGCAGTAACCTTCGACACCCTTGGCGAGGTTGACGTGGCCTCGCACCGTGGACTGGAAGATGGAGAATCTATACTGTGGATTAGTACGTGGAAGTATCCCTAGGGAAGCAATTCAGGTCATGTGCAGCAAATCAGCGTGCTACTCACTGGTATCCTTGAGGATAGTGCATCTTGACATTGAGTTGACACGCCTTGCGGTGCTCGACAGGCTTGATATTGGGACCAGACTGGACGTTGTACTGATCGAACATGAGGGTTACAATATCGCGGGCGTCACTGAAAGACTTGGCCACGCTCCCTGCAGGGCAACCAGAGCCACCGTAGTTCACGTCGACTAGCCTCACCTGGTTCAATGGAGGAGTGTCACCTCCCATGGGGATTGCGGCAACGAGGCCCAGGGCAAAGGGAATGAGAGCGGCGACACGCATTTTGAGCTTCAGTGAAGTTGGTCTGTGAGAGAGTGCGTTGGTAGTGCGAATGAGAGTGTCTGGGGACGAGTAAGAGATTCAACTTGCCATGGTTGAGAAATCATCGTCCTTTTATAACGAGACCGCAACCCATCAAAAGGTCCAAGACGAAAGAGACTGACGCACTTTCAGCTTTTGAGACACCCTCAATTGTCACCGCCACTTGTTCTGGGCTTTGATCCAGCCCACGATAAACCCCATTCTCGCCAAGCTCGTATCTGGAGGTGCTTGCTAAGTGAACCAAAGGCAAATGTTAACTGAACCGGTCTCTCA